AATTTAATGCATTAGGCCAACAATCGATTATTTGAGGTAGTTTAAGAATAATGCAATACACCAAGATAAAACGTATTGATTCTATAATATAAGGCCTTTTACTAAACTTTAAAATTAGAATACGTTAACAGAACCGACCTTTTTTTTTTTACCTAGCACAGATGTTGAGTAAAACAATACCTGCTATAAAACGTATGTGGATGAAAATCAATAACATGTTTTTACATTTGCCTGAACAACTTGATGATCAGATTTTTTAAAAGATGCGGTATGGAATATTAGACTTCAATTTACATAATATTTTGTTTTGTAAAATATTAACATTTTCACAACACTATATATCTCAGTGGCGTAGCGAGGTCGGGTGTCACCCGGTGCGGCACTTAATGGTGTCACCCCCCCCCCTCCGAGGCGTAGCGACCCTTCCCGGGGGGACAAACTTTCAAATTTTCGATTTGCACCCCCCCCCCCCCCGTCAAACCAGTCAGTGACTAGTTTCATGTCTCTTTCAGTTTTTAAAAGAATAATTACACCACGCTGAGAATAGCGCTTGATGTAAAAACCATTCGTGCATATTTTCTTATATTACCCCCCACCCCCACCACCACCCCCACCCCCATTCGCCGTCCCACTATGCGTCCTGTGCTTTAAAAAAGGGTCACACGTGTTCATTTTTACATGCATTGTTTAACTGGGCGTCTATAACTGACAACTATATATAGTCGATATTTACCACACCCTCAAGTGTTGTCGCAAATTTTACCCACCCCTACGTAAAAAGTAATCGCAGCGCTAAAAGTAACACATTTTTTCCTTACGTGTAATTCGTTTTTTTTAAATAACCAACCCACACGCAACATCATGTCTCGGGACCCATCTAGCACATCATCACATAATTTTAACCCGACCCCCCCCCCCCCGCGCTTATGTAGGCATAGTCTCCAAACATTTTCTGTGACGTGGTGCTTCCCCAGAGAACGATCTGTTGTTGAGTTGGATCGATATTAAATTAGATCAGATGTTCTGATACTATCTTTTTAATACTTTTTTAAAAATTGGTGACAGCAGATGCTTCGGAAATATTTAATAAAATTAGTTAAGAAGTTAATGAAATGTGATGTTCATTATTTCACGAAGAAAATGTTTAAAGATGCCACAACGAGGTAGTGATTAACTAGCTCGATTCTACATCCAACTATATCAGGTTTGGTTCTTGAGCTCCAGCTTTTCGAACGTGTCGGAGCTATACGTAGGTTACATGCAGTGTTTCTTTCAGACTTGTTACCGGGGGGGGGGAGGCGGACTAAATTTTTCGTGGGGGGGGGGGGGGCGGACACTGGTAAAAGTAGATATTTTTTTAAATACATTCCATTTCGTTCCGGGGGGGGGGTGTAAACTTTCTCCGGGGGTGGGGGGATTACATGACGTCCCTGAATAGGTTACATGACGTCCCTGAATAAGTTACATGACGTCCCTATGCCATGCTGTATAGGTTACATGACGTCCCTGGGCCATGATGAGTTTACATGACGTCATTGAATCGGTTACATGAGCGATGATGAATAGGTTACATTACGTCCTTGAGTTATGATGTGTAGCCCACATGACGTCTCTGAGCTCCAAGCCCAATTGATTGCACAATAAATCTCTGAACCAACTCTGCTCTGATGGGTACCTGACGCGAATTGTCAGATACGTTCAAAGTATCATTACGTACTAAGCATGTTAAATCTGCAGGTCTACACGACTAATCAACAGACTGATAACATTTTTTTTAAAAATATTTTGCTGCCCCTTTTTAAGGACCTCACCACCCCACCCCAAGTTTCTTCCGGCCAACTTCTAACAGCAGTGATTATCTCTAAGGTAGATAAAGTAGAGCTCTTCTTTCTCTCCTTTCTCCTCACACAAAGAGCTAAACATCAGTTGGCGTCAAGCATAATTCTCAGCCGAACATTACTTCCCTTGCCCGGTGTCATGGAAGGTTCAATGTTGGGGAAAATATAGGCTACACAGATCTAAATATGTTGTCTCTAAATAATGAAGAAAAAATAACATGTAAAGAGAAATGGCGTAACTAGGGAGAAGTAGATGGGGCGGTCCTCCCCATTGGGCGTTAAGTTACAAGGCGAACTTACAGGAAAAGCTTAAAACATAGTTGTTTCTTTAGAGAAACACTGTGTTTTTTGCATTTGTGACTAAGTACTGTTGAACTGATCTATTCCCGGCGGACGTGAATGGCAATGTGAGTTATCGCATCGGGTGACGCCCCATTTAGCAACACCACTGCCAGGCCCTATAGTTGTTTCTTATTTTGAAACTTATACAAAAAGTGGGATGGCGGAGCAATCCTATGGCAACTACCGTCGTCGGTTTGGCCTAGGTTAGATCCAGGCAAACCGTAAGATGGGAAAGCCTAAAAGAAGCCGGGCATTCTGGCAGCCCGCACAAGACGGACAATCTGCCCTCTAGACAAGTGGTCGACACCTGCGGCTTTTTGGACTGAATAAAACGGCTCTTGTAATTTAAAAAACAAAATTAGAACTTATTCATTTTAAAAAAATGAAACTAATGAAGATAATGTACTTAAAACATTTTTAATGCGATCTTTTCCATGCTAAGTATCAAAGTTGAAACACGTTTTTTTTCCGCCTCCCTAAATATTTTCAAACAAAGATTAACCCGAAAGTCTTGAGTTAAGATCTGACGTCCTTGAGTCCACCCAACTCTGATGGGTACCTCACCCACGTTAGGGAAACAGGCGGCTGGGGGTCATGCTGACCACATATTAATTCTACTTCATCTACCTGATGTGTCTTGGCACGAACAGAAACAGATGAAACACTTTATAAAATGGTTCTCCCCCTCCCTTCCTCCCTCCTACAAAAAATTGCAGTAAAACGTAGCTTTTAAATGCTGTAGGGCCCCACCGTTTTTTTTAACAACTCGTATACATACAATCAAAGAAAAAACCCACTGGACTCGTTGAGTAGCATACAACTATTTAATGTCTTGGTACAGCTGTCCTTTATCTTTTCAATTCACACCATTTTTAATTTACCCCCATCCCCCCCCCCCCCCCATGTAAAACATCCATTACAGCCGTGTCTATGACAATTGATGACTATTAAGCACAACAAGACAGGATGGGATATGCGTTGCGGATCGATTTTTTGAGCCCTAAAGGTATCGTCTGATGCTAGAATGAAAAATAAATTTTCAATCTGTTGCATTTCGTCATAAGATGGAGCTGAAGCTTTTTTTTTTTTTTTATTTATTTATTTTTTTTTTACTGATGTTTATGTTTCGAATATTTTTTTTTTTGCATGAGAAAGCTTACAGCGTAACGAATAGAGGCAGTACCAAAATAATACAGTTAATATACGTTTTTAAAACCCCACCAAGTATAGTAAAACAATTCGGCCTAATTTATGTGCATCGCCAGGCCTTTGTCTCCTCCCCCAATCCATCTCACCGACTAGCTTAGACATGAGGTCAGTTAAGTTAGGGTTCCGAACTGATAACTTTCGGATTAGCAAGCGCGCGTTCTATCACTAGACCACTCCATCCTCAAAATGTCTATACTAGACAATCCGAGTTGTCAATAAATAATTATCTGTAAATAATATCGCCCTTTGCTGCCAGGTTTTTTTTTTTTTTTTCAATAAAGGCTACTTGACCAAAAACTTACAAAAGCAAACAATTTTCTGTTTAGACTCAATTGACTCATAGAGATACTATTGTCCATGGTGTCCGAATATTGGTTCTTCAGCTTGGTGATACCTCTTGGAACATAACTTGAAACCTGGGTTTCCTTCAGACATTTTTCTCGAGTGGGGGAGGAGGGAGTGCAGTGCAGTGCAACACACAGAGAGATACCAGTAAAAAATGCTTACAAAATACCAACAAGCACGCGAACACAGCGAAATCAAGAGAAAAGACACAACCAAGATTCTGACTTGTGTTCCCATTGTGGGATCCGAGTACACGATTTGTGTAAGCAAAAATTGCAGCGTTTCGCTATGTGAGAATTTTTTTAAACGCTAAACCAAATAATATTATAGATCTATTGTGTATTTTTTGTTAAGAGGGGCGCTTGCATTTGTGGAAAAAAACGATCGATTGAAGAGAACGGTGTCAAACAAAATGTAATTTTATATGGTGTTCACTTTATAGATCAATGTATCTTCCATACTGTTAGAATTAAATAGAATGTCTTAAATTTAATTCAAATGCATGCGCTTGCATGTGTCATTGTAAGAAATTTATCTTATAGCAGCATTCATTAACATATCCGGTTAAATCAAAGCCAATACCGTAAGACGTTTAGTTTAAATTTGTTCTTTCCAACTTGTTGTCTTTCCTTGCGTTGTCATGAATTGTCGCCCTATTCTAATTCTTTGTTGTTGTTTTTTTTTTTGTAATTTACATTACGCCTTTTTCTTTTACTTAAATTTTTTTCTCTATGTAGGTTTAATTAGCTATTTTGGCTTCCAGTCCAAGTCCACGTAGGATTCAAAGTTTGTGTTGACGCTGCCTAGTTAAAAAAAAGTTAATAAAAAAGGCAACTCCCAAGTAGGAAATCCGCCCATGGGGACGCCCTACCAATGCTATGCGACTGCTAAATGTTGTAGGCGAACCAGTGTTTCTTTCATTCATCTCTCGATAAGGGGGAAGGGGGGGGGGGGGAGGGGGATACTGCCTTCCTGGTGTGCTTCACTGCCGGTCCTCCCCAGACGGGAAATAGAAAATAATAAAGCAAACAATGAAACATACACCGCGTTTACACTTGCGACAATAATACTAAAGATATCTAGAAAAAAAACACTTCCCAATATGTGAGTAGCCCCCCTGCCCCCCATATTCCGATAAAATTAACTTAACGCCAAGTTTTTTTCTAGACGTGTATACTTTACATGTCGCAAGTGTAAACGCGGTGTAACCGTGTCCTTGTCGCCCCCCCCCCCCTTCCCCGGGGGGAAAATAAACACTACAGCGGACGAATGTTTCACTTTTATTCACATGGTGAAACCATGGTGAATTTTTTAAATTCATAAATTCTCCAATCAACAATAAGCATTCAACTAATGTAAGTATTGACCTTTGAGCTAATGCCCTTTAGATTTAAATAATCGTTGTCACTGACCAGACGGGGTGTGGCTGTCAGTACAAATAGGGAGAGGAAAATTATGCAAAATCATTGTCATTGTTTATACGGCCTTGCATGTATAGAAACGCCTTAATATAAAACCTACACATCATACGTAGGTTAGAGTTAGCCCGCTTAATATTTAACAAAGAAGATTTTATCGCACTAAGTTTTTTATTTTAGTACAGCTGTAGGCATTTGAAAATAGTTCATAGAGAGCCCCAATTAAATGTGTATAAACCACGTGGCGCTCAATCATTCGTCGAAGTGTCATACAGCAATTATATCATTCGTGTACGGAACGTGTTGAGTATTTGCCCTTGTGACGTCGCGCCGTGTTATCCCAACGCGCGGGGCGACCTACTTTTAAGTGTGTCAATATATTAGGCCTACGGGTTCAAACATGTGAGACTGGATTGCGTAAGCGTCAGGGTTTTTATAAAAAGAGGAACCCTTTTATTTTTATCACAGCGGTCTTGTTTAATTACCACACTATTATTTACAACACATGTTTTAATCCATCCTAAGAAATGATTACGCCTTGAATTGAATCTTGATTGTATTAAAAAAAAAAACTTGTATTTATTTAACATTATTCTCTTAGATTCACACATCGATTTTCTTTGAAGTTTTAGAGAACAATATAATACTAATAATAATATGAAAAATCTTTTATTTTATAAATAAATAATATTATTCCCTTTAGATTCACAGGCTTTGAAAAAATGTTTATTAAGCCATCTGTCATAATTGAAGTACCCACTTTGCAATGTTAATTTAATTACAAGATCGGTTATATAACTAAGGCTGTTAGACCAGCAAGTTTATTGGGCATCACTAAAAGCTGCACCTAAAATAGAAATAATAGCAAAAAATTGATACCTTGTATTCATACATGGATAATCTGCACGTGGGGGGGGGGGGGGGGGGTGTAAGAAATGAGGTAGCATATATTTTATATTCTGAAATGGAATTCTTGGTATTAATTAGGGGTGTCATCAAAGGTAACATATGTCATAGCGGTGCCGCTAGGTGGTGGGGGTAGTATAGATGCGAGTCCACCATACTCCTATGACTATTTTCTTAGTAAAAGCAATGGAATATCGTCTGGAACTTAAATACTAGTAGCATAAAGACTAGACTTTAAATAGATTGAGCTATTTTTAAATCTAGGTAATGGGTTTTTACTCATTAAAACATCGTTTTGTGTCATATAGTTTTACTCAAAAATACATTTAACAAAACAGCCCCATTTTTTTCAGGTTAGAATTAATCTTTAACTAGAAGAACCATCTAATGTAGCCTACTGTCAGAGGAAGCAACAGTTAGGGACTTCCACACCTTTCACCAATGTAACAGGAAAACTAGAGGGCTTTTGGTGAGTGTAGCGGACACATTAAGCTTGTTAGGGGGGGGGGGGGGGCTCTTAGGGTTTTTCTACCAACTCAAGTGCTGTAGTGGTCGTACAACTGTTGAGCATTTGAATTCCTGTTCTGAATGCCGTTCTGAAACGTCACTAAATCCATACTTAACACTATCATAGAGTCAAGGGCAACATGCATACATTACTTAAAAGTTAAAAACAATGGTCATAAAAACTTGAATCTCATTTACAAACAGATGATTTTAATAAAACACAAACCACCAAGATCAAAATAATCAGATGTATTTTACAATTACAATGATAAATTAAAATGTTTTGTCATAAGCATTCAAGCCAACTTCAATGCCTGTGTCACATTATTTGAACTGTAACATATCTGTTAACATACAAATAAATAAGACCAAAGAGCTGTATACAGTGAAATTAATATGCCAAATAAATTGTTACAACTAGATCCAGACTAGCATGTAATCAAATGTAACCTGCCTTTCCTAACAGTGTTATATGTCTAGTAAGTTGTGACAAACATTTTACTTCTAGTAAACTAATCTTGTGAGGGCTTCTAATACAACATGCTGAAGACAACTGAGAATTTTTTTTAAATAGTACCTGACTAGTTTTTCAACACTGCACAATATCACAGCTCCATCAATTCACCAGTCCATAAGCTATTACAAACTAAACAACAGTTTATTGACAATTAATCTTATGTGTTGTTTCTTGATAAACAATAAAGCAACATAAAGTGCATATGGATTTTTACTGGCTAGCAGCCATAAACCTTTTAAAGATAAAACATTGCTTCTTAATACACTTATGTATGTAGGAACCTTTTACAATAACCTGAAAAATATTTTATGAAAAATGTAAGATACCTCTCTGTGTATTAAAATATTTTTGCTTAGACATAAACCTTAAATATAGATTATACCATTGACTAATTAAAAATATCTTCACAAATAAAATAATTTTAGAAAAATCTTTATTAACCATGTACACTCATGTTAAGGTAAAAAAGGAAAAAAAAATGTGTCAAGGCAGTGCCATGAAAACAATTTAAAAAGATTACTCACCACCGCTATTGGGAAAATAGAAAAGCCCCCTGACTGAAAGAAAATAGCAGCAGACTCATACACAGCTAATCATACAATCTTAATGTTGTATATGGTAACAGAGTTAAAAAAAAATTAGGCACTGGTATTTTTACCAAGGAAAATATGAGATCAGAATGAGTTTTTGTGTGTCAAATGCTCGACATTTTTACACATAAATATCAAGTAGTAAAAAACCTCTAAGTGTTTACCACCAAAAGATTTTTAGAAATTTTAGCCATGCTGTAGAAATAGTACATAGACCAGCTAAAATATTTAATGTCACACAAACACAAAAATTTATTTCAGATTGCTTTCATTTTAAACTCACACACACAAGAAAAAAATCCCCCTTTTGATCATTGCAGATTTTACTGTGATTATTTACACAACATAAAATGACATTGCTTTCAAGCGTAACTTCTAAACTGCACAAATAACTGACAAGCACTACCTTAAAAAGGAACCATATTTTACGGGAATTGTAAGATAAATATCCAGAGTTACACCTGGAAAACATTTTAAAAGCTTTCTCATCAAAAACATGAGCAATTTATTTTTACACATTGTACATTGGAAAGACTGCAACTAAAATAAAGTTATGACCAGAGTACTAAGGTTTTGTCAGATCTGTTGTGTCTGTTTTGGTTATTTGAAAAGTAACCAGGTATTCTGGATAGGCCTGAAATACAAACAAATTTTTTTTAATGGTAAGTAGTTTAAAATCTTTTTTTTTTTCATTCAACATGGTATTTAATTGTTGTGATTAATATTATTGGTGAATTAGGCGAATGAGTGAATATTTACCAGTATGTAAACTTGAAAATCATATACACTACATGTATGAGGTTTTCTTTTACAGTACAACAGATATTAAAATTAATTATGAATTTTTCCCCCCACCAAGTGTCACCTTTCTTACAAAGTGTCAATTTTCTATTATAACCCTGATACTTTTTTAAAAGAATGCTTTCCCCACATTTTAAATATATATAAATACAAATTAACATATAAATGCAATTGTAAATTATCAAGAAATTTAGAATCTTTACAGACTACATGGTGTGACTTTGGAAAAATATAAAATTGACAAATTGTGATTTCATTAAAACAAATTGTGATTTTTGACAAAATGACATTTTACATAGAAATAATCCAGAGATAACCAAGTTCACATAATTATAATTCTATTCAGTAAATTAAAATTATTTTGCCCAATTTTGTTTTTAGTGAAAATAGTGGTACAATCCTGATCCATCAATCACTAAAGATTCTTTCATAGTGTAACTCATTTCTAAGGTATGAGTGAGCTTGTATACCTAAATAACAACTCCTCCCACCCAATGAACATAAACTATTGGATCAGATCTAAAAAAATTACCATGAGGAAACTGAATTAATTCAAAGTAAAATATTTTCAAAGCACCAGCAAATTGTGTGTCTAATGGAAAATGTAAAAATACAATTTAGACCAGTGCAATAAAGTTTAAAAAACAATGATCTACTTATTAAATAAATTGCATAAATAATAACAATTACCTGTTCTCCTCTGTAAACTACATATTCTGCATAGTTTAATCCACCTGTACTAGGCCGCCCTATCACTGAATGATGACCAGGTGGGGCATGAGCCATTTTCATAGCCGAAAATTGGAGAAAAGACTTTCCCAATGTCACACGACACAGAAGTAGTTGTCTGCAATAATAAAAAATACGAATAGTAAATTGTTAGCTAATTCACAATATAGAGATTTATTATTTTGATATTTTTACTATATCTTTTTATTCCAGGAGAACAGCCATTTAGAACAGACATATTTAAATTGTCAAAAATATTTACATGAAAGCATAGACTCATACCTCTGACAAATATAACAAGATCTGTCTTTGTGAACAGGACACCCAGTTCCACCACCTATACCATACACATACTGGTTGCTTTTGGAAGAGTTCTCAGCAAAATATATACCTGTAGATATTTGCCTTTGTAATTAGCATTAATAGGAGACGAACAAGTATTTTTTTTGTTACTTTTTTCAAGCTAAAATAACCAAGGGAAGGATGTTAGTAGAACTACCTGCTCCAAACATTCCTCCTATGTATGCATGCCTCTCATCAAATCCTTTGTGTACAATGGCATTGATAAAAGGAGATCCATGAAACAGGTGTCTTTCATTTGGCTGCCCATGATTCTCTTCTCCAACTTCTTTTCTGCGATGGCAATAGCGCTCAAGGAGTCGTTTATTGCGAATTTTTTGAATCTTTAGTATATTATAGCTGTTAAATACACCACCCACATTGTCTTTGTGGTCACGAAGAGTAGAGATCATCTGGGTAGAAAAATAAATTAGACAAAAGTAAAAATATGTTACAGGATGCTGCGCCCTAAATAAACTTAGAAATAAAGTGGAAGGAATCTCAAATATTCTTATAAAACACTACGGTGGATGACAACTCGAGAAATAGACATGATTTTTTATCAATTTTTAAATACTTTAACTTTTTAAAATACAATAGAATCTAATAGAAAAAAGAACTGCACACCAAGTGAACAGCAAACAATGTGTGTATAATAGTGTGGAATCAATATTAGTATTTTATAAATTCATATGCATTCTTTGAGAAATCTGAAATAGCATAAAGTACTACTTCCATTAAACAGAAATTACTCAAAATTTGAAAGAAGGCAGAGATAGATCTTCTACTTATATGTGAAATTTCATCTATATATCTTAAACAGTACTCAAGTTATAGGCTTTTGAAAAACAAAAGTAGAATAAGTTCCACTCCCGGTTACTGGAAATCGGCGAACTATAAATTTGATTTACTACTTATATATGAAATTTCATCAGCCTAGCTGTAACGGTACTCAAGTTATTGTATTTACAGACACACATCCACACACATAGACAAAATTGCAAAACTATGTTTTTCCAACTCAGGTAGGTGTAAACCATCAATATTTGTAAAAATCTTGATTTGGATTTTTTGCACAATTTCAATACTTCCTCTATACTTCATATATGAGAAAGTAAAAAGAGAACATAAAGAGACAAACCTGATCTTTAACCGAAATAAATTCAGGATCATCTGGCATGAGATCAATAAGAATGGTCCCTTGAGTAGGAGCTCCAACTACATTTTGAACACCTAGATAGATACAAAATATACTATCAGTCTATATACTATACACAGCCAATTAGTAAGAAGACATTGATAACACTTTATTCCCTATCAACTAAAGACAACAGTGATTCTCTAGATCAAAGATATAGTTTTGTTAATAGCTTAATAGTCGAAAGAATATCTTGCATGTGTGAATGTGCCTAACAATTATTAACTTTACACATAGTCTACATAGAACCATTGTTTCACACATTGCAACTGCCCAAATGAAAATAAAGGATATTAAATTATCATTAGAAAGTATTAGTTGATAGCTAAAACAAATTACCTTTAGAAGCTATAAGTTTCTCCATGCCTTTAAGAATTTTATGCCTATGGCCATAAGCATTGATTCCAATTTCTTTTAGTTCATCATGCCCCATCTCCACAAGAATGTCCATAGTAATTTGTTCTTTCTCAAAAATATCTCTCAACTGCTCCAACCCAATGGATGACAAGAATGATGAAACACTTATCCCCTCAATGCTTCTCTCTCCTTCAGCTAATGACCTGTCTACACAACCATCTCCTACTTGTGAAGATGTCCCCCCTACAGCTCCTTGAATCAAATCTGAACTGCTGCCACTGCTATTCAACAGACTACTTTAGAAGAAAATTTTTTAAATAAACTTTAATACAATAATCTATTTTCTTCTAGATAGTTGTGTATTTTATAAATTCAAATTTTAAAAAAATATGATTTTTGAAAGTTAGATCAGGTTATAATATTGAGTAGGTATATGTAAATAGAAATGTAGCCTTAAAGGGGGGAAAAAACATTGGAAGTTCTCTATTTTAGTGAATTTTATAACACTGATTCTATTAAAACTATTTAAATCCTTAGATTTTTTAAAGGATTGGCTTTCAATCTAAACAAAAATGTAAAGCTTTTAACAAAATAAAAAACACTTCTTTGGTTTATGTCATGGATCTGGACCATCTCAGCTAATACCAATGTTTTTTAACAACAGTATCTCATGTCATAAAAATAACATACTTGGATGAAGAACTACTTGAACTGGTTAAATTTGAAGCCTGAGCTTTAGGTAATGAAGGAGGCATAGTAAGAGGAGGCATGGCATCTTGCAATAATGCACGGACATCATCAGCCTGTACAAAGAAATAAAAAGTATGATAATATTAAATTAATACAAAATAAATCCCATACAAATAAACCAAAACTACTGAAAGTGACCAAAGTACTTACAGTTGTCAAATCAAGTGGTGTCTGCCCTTCTTGGTTTTTTACTGTAGGATCTGCACCATGTGCCAACTGTAAAGAAATTATTTTTTTAACACAAACAAGCAACAATAATTTAATTCAATAACATAGATAAGGAAAAAATTAATTATACATAAATATCAATATAACATTTTTTAAAAGAGTTCTAACCAAGAGTGCACAGAGCTGTGTTCTTCCTTTCTGAGCAGCTTCATGCAGAGGTGTAAATCCCCAGCGGTCTTGAGCATTCACATATGTATTGTATTTAATTAACAATGCTGCTATATCCACATGCTGAAATTTAAATGTGAAATTAACTATAAAAAAATCTAGATCAAGATTATAATAATGATTGAACACATATTTTATACATAATATTTACGTGCGAACTGCTCTTCAGAGAATTGGTTATTATGCTTACAAAAATAAAAGGTAGAAGCTGCAGAATAAAACAAGATTGTTGTTTTATAAAAACTAAATAGTAAAACAAACCCCATATGAAGAAGCATTGTGTAATGGAATGAGGCCCCCTTTGTCTTGGGCATTGACATCAGCTCCATTTTCTAAAAGAAACTCTGCAACCTCAACATTGTTGTATCCAGCTGAAATTAAATTAACCAGTTACTGAATTTCTGTTAATACTTACAAGAACCTAACTGACCAATTTGTCACATAATTTAAGACAATACATTTCTTTCCTTACCTGCAAGATGTAAAGGAGTTGAGTTCCTTCCCTGAGTATCTCTACAGTTTATATTTTCTTCTGTGGCTAGTTTCTGCACCCTGGCTAAATTTCCCTTTTTCGCAGCTTCCAATAGGGCAGCATCACCTAAATTATAATCATTCAATACAAAGAAGGTTATAAATATTCAACACAACAAATCAGTATATCACATTTGACAAGTTTGTAAAAGAAAAACAATTACCTCTAAGAAGATCAGCAACATCTTGATCTCCTTCTTTGACTAGATCCAATGGTGTGTGTCCATCTCTATTCTTTTTATTAGGATCAGCACCATGCTAAAGTAAAAAAAAACATGAATTAACTAATGTACAGAAAGTTTGTAAGTTTAATTCTTTTTAAAAAAAAAAACCAATGATGAAATTATGTATGTAGAAAATATTGCCTATCTAAATATAGAATCAAAATGAACTATTTTAAATGCTAGTTTGTGTAGGTAAGAAAAGACAGTATATTTCTATATATCACATAAATGTATACCTTTAGTAATATTTTACATATTTCAAATTTTCCTTTAGATGCTGCCTCATGTAGGGGTGTAAACTTCCACAGATCAGCTACATTGACACAAGCCCCATGCTAGAGAAAAAAAGATTAGGTTATTGTTTAAAGATAAAATACAGTACAGTACTGAAAATGAAATTTTATCAACTTAATTCCAATAACCTGTCATTCCATATATATGAATAACTTGAGCAGAATACCTTAATAAGAAGTTCTGTAACTTCATAATGACCATAAGAGCAAGCATTGTGTAATGGCACCAATCCACTGCAAGAAAAAAAAATTAAAATGTATTAAACAAATTTGTAAGCAACTCACACAAAAAAAAAAACAGGGTGAGGACACATGAGAATTCTAAATTCAATGTATTCAAAATATTTGGGATTCTTGATACTTTATAAAAGAAATCTAAGAATTTTTGCAGGCAACAAGACATAATGAAAAGCGAGTAGGAGCACAAAGAGAACTATATTACAACAATAACACCAATGATAATGGAAGCCATTGAAACCTTGATGCTAACAAATGCCAAAGAAAACCTATTAAATATCTGGGAGATAAAAATCCCTGTGATGGTTAGGTCATCAGTAAAGAATGTTCAATCACATAGTGATAGAGGTAGCTTATGACCAAAAGAAAACAACTAATAGGCAAACCTAGGCAAATGGATAAACAATGTGTTGACAAACCTGCAACAGCTCAGAGTAAATAAAAAGGGAGTGATCTCCCCCAAACTTTCTCAAATATTCTTATAAAACACTACAGGGGATGGCAACTCGGGATATAGACATTTTTTATCAATTTTAAATTACTTAAAACTTTTAAAAAAAGAATAGAATCTTGTAGACAAGAGAAAATAAATATGGAATAAGAAAATAGCAGATGCCTAATTGGAAGAAAGTGAAGAAGGTCATAGCCCTCCATCCTAATATATAAAAGCTGATGCACGCACTTCTGTCTCTCTCTGTCTGCAAAACATTTTCACAGGCTATGATATCAGTATCTTCAGCGATATATGGCGAACTTGATACAGACTTTTGTTGAAAATAATATTTTGGATGTTTTAAATGTATAAACTAAATTTTATTCATAAAAGGAAAATAACAATAAAGGCTTATTCGAATGGAGAAACACACTTTAAATTATGCAACCAGAAAAATGTTTATGGTTGTGACAAAAACGCAATAAACAATTACGTCTCATGCCACATGTTTAATCTACGGAATGTACACAAAACTAAAGGCGTCATCTTCCAATTTTAGAATATGAAGAGATGAACTATTTCATTCAAATATGATTTAAATCTATAGATCTACTTATCTGGACATGCGTTATGATATGTATACAATTTTCTTGGCCAAAAGTAATACAAATTACTTGAAAAAAACAACAGAAATACCTTTGAACAGCCGGGTTTTTAAAGGAATCATTTAATTCTCTTAATCAGTGTGTTCATTTAATATGGTGTTGTGTTGATAAGTGATGTATATGATTTGGTTTTCTAATAGGTATTGGTAGCCTATGTTATTTTAAATGTATCGGATTTTTAGCTATTTAGTTAGTTCTTTACTTTGTCACTAATATAGTTCAACGTGTAGTAAAGCACATTGCGTTTTGACCAGTATCTATTTTATACATTATTTTTTCAAACAAGTTTAACAAGATCTATAATTCACATGCTAGTATACTATAAAGCTAGAGAGAAAGATGAATTTATCAACAAAAGATAAAAGCTTGAAAAAGCACCAAAAAGAATGAACTTAGTTTGAAATAAAAACTCACCCTTTATCTTTTGCATGTACATCAGCACCATGTTCTAATAAATACTCCACCACAGCAACCCTATTATAGCCAGCTGCAAAATGTAAAGGTGTTGAGTGTCTTCCATCAACATCTCTACAATTTACGGCATGAAGGTTGGTGGCAACAAGTTTCTGAAAGAACAACAGTTCACTGAGATAAGAATATATTACAAGAACTTATTTTTGTTTTTAAATTTATGTGATGAGATGTTTGAAAAAAATCTTTTAAACTTTTCTCTTACTATAAATTATTTAAAATGCTTTGTTTCAACAGCTACAGTACCTTCACTAGTTCTAAATCTCCAGCTTTAGCAGCTTCAAGAAGTTGAATGTCTATATCTGTTCCTCCAACCGGTGGATCCTCTAAAAACAAAAGCATTCAATAATTTAAAAAAACAATACATCCTCTAGTTAATGCATTAAAATGGTTATAGGTTAGTTCCCATATTATCAAAATCAATTTACAAACATTGTACTGCATTTTGAAACTGAAATTCCATGCATTTTCCAAACAATTAAGAAAAAAAAATTCATGGAAAAAGTTTTAGCAACTATTTATAAACTGTTTGGATAGAGGGGAGGGTGTCTCATACATAGGCAACATTAGACTCCTTCAACTTACTGCCCAGGCTCTGGGTCTTCATTTCCAAGGCGCATTGGTCTATCAGACTATGAAGCCATTTATTTCTTTTATACAGACACTGAACTTACCTCTTAACAGTTTCTGAATGTTCTCTGTTGCTAACTGAGCAGCAGTATACCCTTGCAGAGAAACAATACTGGGATCAATAGCAAAAGACATCAACAGACGGCATGCCTGCATGTTACCCTGCTGGGCAACTCTGTGCAAGGCTGTTTGACCCAGACCATCCAATGCATTAACCTGAAAATAGAAACATTACTTTAATCACATGGATTCACTGTAAACAAATAATTTAAAAATACTTGACTTATTTTTTAAAATACCTTTGCACCATGCTTTAGAAGAACATCCATAACATCATAGTGAGCTTTGTCAGCAGCAATGTGTAGAGGAGTCAAATAGCTAGGAAACAATAAGCATCAGGAATTAATTATGCAAACCCTGATACAAAAAAACTAGGTAGGATAATAAGTCATAAAATTAAAAAAAAAGGTGAACTTACTCTTTGTTTTTATCATTCAGATTTGCTCCTTTGCGAATTAACAATTCAACCACTTGCTTTCTTTTAGGATATATTGATGCAGCAGCACAATGCTAATAAACAGAAGAAAATTTTTATTCAAAATTATAGAAATATTCAAACCCACAAAAATTTTTTCCCAGATAATTGAGATATGTAACAACACTTACCAAGGCAGTGTCACCAGAAAAAGGGTGTTTGAAGTTCACAACTTCTAAAGACAAATACTTCTTTACTCTTGTCAAATCAGCTTGCCTGGAACCCTCTAAAAGAGCATGGCCTTTGTATTCAACTGAAAGAGTAGTTAAGTAAGATAATTACATAAAAGATATCCAAATTCTGAAAGCAAACTACAACCCTAACTATATCAGTAGTAAAAGTTTTTATATCTCTAGTACAGATCCTAATAGGTGAAAAGGTTTCTTTTTATAGCTAATCCACTTGAAGGCTTATTAGAAGAAAGGATTTAACAACCTAATAATTTGGTATACTCACACTGCAGTCTCTCTTGTAACTCTCTACTTGGTGCAACATCCAGTATACTTTTACTATGACAGTTCACTAAAGTAGGATCAGCACCATGTGCAAGCAAAAGTGAACAAACTTCCACCCTTGATTTGGATGCTGCTTCATGGAGAGGTGTAAACTGCCAAAGGTCTACTGCATTTACACTTGCACCAGCCTTAAATTATAAGAAATGTTATCTTACTCACAAACTATTGAAAAACTAATACAAAGAGGGTAGTTTAATTGATGATTTTGAAAAAAGAAAATAATTTCTAAAGATACAACTAAAAAGGCAGTATACTCTTTGTCTTCAGCATGCACATAAGCACCGTTCTGCAGTAGCAGAATATGATTTCTTCATTCCAAATTTTTTAATGTTAGGTCCTAACTATTATTAAAATGTTATGTTAAAAAAAAAACGACCTCTGTGCTTAATGTTGTTACCTTTATTTAATAAATTGCAATTGATAATAATTCTGTGTGTTAGAGCTTACCTTCAAAAGCATTTCTGTCACTTCAAAGTGTCCATATGAACAGGCATTGTGCAGTGGAACTAAGCCCCTAAAATAAAATAGGCTTTTTTTTAAAAATGCAACAATAAAGCATTTGTTTCTGGTTCAGCCGAAAAAATACTGGCTGTGTGTTTTAAGAAGCAATTATAATTAAGATAAATAACATTTAGCCTGGTCTACCAGACAGCTTAGTTAAGAAATTAGCTGATGAACTCATACTGGCATAAATAAAATTATTACTACAAAACTACTGAAATTAATTCAAAGAGAGTAGTTTAATTGCTGATTTTGAACAAACAAAAATATTTTCTATAGATACAACTGAACAGGCAGCATACCCTTTGTCTTTAGCATGCACATCTGCACCGTTCTGGAGTAGTAGATGCACAATTCGTGTTCTGTTGTAACCTGCTGCAAGGTGCAATGGTGTGGACTGTTGTGACAAAAAAAATGTAATTAGCATGAAACAAAGCAAATAGTTTACTAGAAGCTACAGCTCATTGCAAAATAATCATTAGATGATATAAGATTCTTATAGGAGAGACAGACTTTTAAACACTAATATAAAATAAGAAAATAAATGACCTTTCTTCCATCACTTGCGTGACAGTTGACATTTAGAGGTGTTATCAATGCCACCATTTGTTCTTCATTACCACTTCGGGCTGCTTCTAATAGCTCATCTTTCTTATACTCTCCTTAAAAGTAAAATTGCAGTAGGAATAATAAAAATGTTGATGGTTATTAAATATTCTATCATTCGACAATAAACATAAGGGAGTCACTGTAATATGATTATATGGCATCAACATAAATGTTTTACCTTTGTGAAAATAATTGTTTCAACAATCAGTCTGTTTGTAGACACTTAACTCAATAGATTAATCATTACAGAATTCATGAAAACTGGACACTTAATTAATCCTCTCCAAGTCTAATGTGCAAAAATACTGCCCAGGATGTTTTAGATCTTGCCTTCCTATGTACTAATAGGCTCCACATATGCATACATACTTGAATGTAGTATGCCTTTGATTTTGCACAATTTTGAAAGTCACCATTAATGACTTTTTAAACAGTTTTAAAGGTAAACATAAGTATCAATGTCATTTTTGTTCTTGGAATAATTTGATACAAATAGGCTGTTGCTTGATCTACTTTTTGAATTGACGCCTTTGTAATAATGACTGCCTAAAAAGACCAAATTTAAGTGCCAAGCCATATTCTACAATTTGCAAAAGATTACCTGTAAGAACAGCTTTAGCAGTAGGGTCTGATAGGTCAAGGGCAGTCTTGCCATCTGTATTTCTTATGTTGGGATCAGCTCCAAATTGAAGCAACGCTGTGTAAAAAAATTTAATTAGTGTTTTAAATAGGAAAACTCATTTCAATTCATTGATATAACCAATACACTGTAACTGACAAGCAACAATTATACTTTACCTATGCAAACATCTATTTTTCCTTTACTTGCAGCCTCATGAAGAGGTGTATAGTTCCAGTTGTCTTTAGCATTGGGGTCACAACCTTGTCGTAGGAGAAGTGTTACCACCTCTGCATGCCCAAAAGAACAAGCATTGTGAAGAGGTATAAGTCCACCATCATCTCCAGCATGAACATTTGCCCCACATTCTAGTAAGTGTTCAACTACGTCTTTGCGACCAAATCCTTAAAAAAAAAATTCCTTTATGATTAAAATTAAAATGACCAGCCATTTTTCATTGTTCAAATAAGAAGTCTACAAAACATTTTTAAATGGTAACAGTTACTACTCTCTTTATTCCAATATTTTACTGAGCTAAACAAAAAACATTTGGTTCTTTGTAAATTGCCTATTGTTTAGATATACACATTAATAGAGACAATTATAGAAATTAATTTTTTGTTAGAGTTGTTAATTTTATTTATTCCTTGTTGTCCTCAAGATTGTTGTTGAGAAACTGGTATTTTGTTGACTAGAATGTATAAAATCGTTTATGCGTAAAATAAGCATGGTTTGTGTGTATTCCAGTGGTTTAACAAGTGCTGCCATGTGTCATTGTTTGTAATAAAACTTTTTCACAAAAAATTCATTTTTCAAATAAACTTCTAATTCTATTTTATAGGTTTATTTTTTGTTAGTTTTGAAAAACAATTTTCAAAACATTTTGGGCTTTTACTAACATTTTTGGCTTAAAATGTGTCTATGCGTTAAGTGACATCGCACAAAAGCTGAAACTATAAAACACACTAAAAATTGTTTTAATGTATTCTCCCTAATTTTGTATTATCACAAATTTATCGACATAATGGTGATGCTCAACCAAATGTATTAAACTATGATGTTTATTAGGCCTAGAGAACTTGACAAATTTGGGAAAAGTATGCAAATTTTATTTTTTATTAATGTAAAATGTAATTTTTGTTAAAAGAGGAAATCAGAAGTTTTTGTTATGCCTGTACATTAATCTACGAGTTCATACTCTATTGCAGTGAGAAACATCCCCCCCCCCACACTGATGAAAGAACTATACGCCCTAAATCCAGTAATATCTAGATTTCTATATAGAATCTAGCTCCTATTTCTACTGGTAAAGATTGTAGCCTCGTCTAGCACCAGCTGAATTGTATGAAGATTCATTATCAATACAGTTGTTGAATACAGATCTATCTTTGAACGGATCAAAATAATATTTGATTTAGGTCAAACATTCGTCTAGTCTCACCCAGGTATGTTTAAAAAACAAAATGAGACTAGAATAGACATATATCTTCATCTTATAGCGTTAGAAAACTATTTATTTTCATCAAGCCTAAGTTATGACCCACTGTTTCACTTTTGTAAGACAATGATTGAATGATCGGCTGTACAATGTACAGAAACTCTGTTTCTGTACAGTTATTTCCAAAACTTTGCCGACAGTTTTTAAATAAAATAAAATTATTTTAAACCACATAATCTAGTTCTGCCATTTTTGTTTACATTTTGTATGATAAAATTTATGCTAGGATGTCTTCGTTTATGTCACCATTACCAGATCACCTCATGAAAACCAAATTGTTTTTGGCTTTTTACTTTCTCGTGTATTCGAAGTATAGATAAAGTCTTGTAATCGTGCAAAAAAACCATAATTTTGCAATCTTGTCCATATGTGTCTGTAAACACGATAACTTGAGTACCGTTACAGCTAGGTTGGTGAAATTTCATATACAAGTATTATATCAAAATCATAGATCCATATCAACTTTTGAGCGATTTCCGATAACCAGATGTGGAACTTTTTCTACTTTGAATTTTTCAAAAGCTTATAACTTGAGTATTATTTCAGATGGATAAATAAAATTACGCACGTAAATAAAAAGGCAGCATTTACGCGGTTCGCTCCGCATTATGCATAAGGCCGCCTTTGCGGGGTTCTCTGCGCGTTACGCTTAATCTTTACTATTCTTTACCCCAGGTGGCACGCGATCTAAAAAGAAAAACAGATGTCATGACTGCCCGATATTTTTTTTCGTGGTAACAATTTAATGTTGACATAGATCTAGATCGAGTTTAAGTGTATTTATATTATTTCAACACCTAAGAGTCTAGTATGTGTAAAAAAAAAACAGTCTAGATCTAGCTAGATCAAACTGTCCTTTAACCTTTAGGCTAGCTATCTAGCATGCGTGATAGTAGATCTAAGTTTATATTATTTATCCTATGTGAACTTAAAAAAAAATTTGCTTGAGGGGGGAGGTGGGAGGAAGAGAGAAGTGAAGACAGACTATCTTGTGAACTTCTGTTCATTCTATGACGTATGCTTTAGTCCTGCTGAACTCACAGTGACCTCGCCGACCGTGGGCCGTGGTGGGATTTTCCACTCACTGGATAGTAAATGTAAGGCAAGCAAGCAATCACGCCAGTTTAAAAAAAAAACTAATCATAGTCTACGTCATATTTTCAATATGAAAAAAAACCAAAAAACTAGTACTGGCCGAGCTAACCCTGGATTCGAACTCGGAACTCCGGGTCTATGAACTACTGTCTACAGCTGGCATACTGTTGACTCAACCACACCGGATGTGATAGATATGCAAAAAGTAAGTATTTTCAATTACAAGATGGTAAATCCAACCTGCGAGATGCGTAATCTATTCCTTGGGGGCCACGCTCTGCGAGATGCGCAGTCACTTCGAAATAAAAAAAAACCTAATTCTCTTCCTTTCTATCAAATTTTGAGTAATTTCTGTTGACCGGAAGTAGTAATTTAACTAATTTTTGCTATTTCCGATTTCTCAAAAAGGCATGTGAATTTATAAAGTTCTACGAGATTTTATTCTATTTTTAAAAGTTTAAGTAGGCCTATTTAAAATGGATTAAAAATCATGTATATATTCCGAGTTGCCATCCCGTTGTTTCATATAAGAATATTCGAGAAAGTTTAGGGGAGATCACTCCCGGTTTATTTGAAAAAGTGTGTTTGTAATTATTAGGGTCCTACTGAAAATACTAAAATTAAATCGTCAAATACATCCACTCTTAGATAATAGTCCGAAAAAACAAGTCAGGATTTTCTAGATCTAGACTAGTCTACCTTTTAGATCTAGAGCTAGAATCTAGAATAAAGATCTAGAGTAAAGTGGCGTCTGCGGACAGTCGTAGCAAAAAAAAACGGAAGTGCCGATTTCCATTGAGCGCCATTCAGTAACCGCTTCACATAGAAACAAACCGAAAGTACCGTCTCACTCCGCATTCTTTCTAGTTTAATCACGTCTGATTCATTTTGTATTCATACGCATAGCATTGAATGTATTAACATTTTCAGTGGTGAGACTCTGTGCGGACAGTAAGTGCACTTTTTTTTACATTTTATTTTCTGTGCGGACACTTGCTCCTTATGCGGACAAGGCATATTTTGTTCATTTTGTTTCTATTTAAATGATTGAAATAAACATGTTACATACATAAATAGTGTTGTTGATTGTTTTATATATTAATATATTGGAAAACAAAAAATATGAAGAAATATGAAATAAGTTTTAATTAAATTAAAGTGATGCCTGAAAGAAACTCAGGACCCATTTGAGATTTTATTTCACTTTTTGCTTAGTAGACACGTTTGATGATCAAAAATATTTTTAAAACCTAAAAACATCACTAAAAACTAATAGAGGAGCTTACACTTTTCGGACACACATAGCGAAAAAACGCAACGTAAAAATTCCATGCGGTCTCATTCAGTAACCGCTTAACATAGAAAACAAAAAAAAGTATCATATCTATCCGCAACCATTCTACTTTAATAATGTGTGTGTCATTTTGTATTCATACGCATAGAACTTAAGCTATTCTTGTTATAGTGACTGGGGGGTCTTAACGTGTGTTCGAACACATGTAATACAGTTTTACATGTGTTCGGACACCTTTACCCGTCATCGGACATAGCACTTTTTGTTCATTTAGAATAATTTAAAGTCAATTTAATGAATAAAAACATATATTATATGCATGTATATTGTGTTATTGATTGTTTGTGAGGTAATTTTAATAGTATAAAACCTTTTTCCCACACTCCCAAAGTTCATCCCATTCAGCCATTGCGGCTCGCGCAGTACGCTGCTAAGCCAGCCAGGTCACATGATTCCCCCTCCTCTTTCGCATTCCACTGCCTTCTTGACCTTATTTTGACCCTTTCCCTTCAATAACCAGCCCCTTTTATGCTCTAAATTCTTATTTAATAATATTTTTGTGTTGCTGTCCGGTCCCATGTAAGGTCAAAAAAGTTAGCGAACACCCCTTTTTTATTGTTCAAGCACAAAAAAAACCATTAACCTTGACATTTACGATGTTCCATACATATATAGAAGCTATTTATAGTGTAACCTTTTAGCTAAGCATTGATTGGTTCAAGTTTTGCCCCTAAGTCCAACCCTAGGTCACTTCATCCGGCTGGTGTAAAAATAGAAATGTGCGTACCATGCAACGTTAAAAAATTTCTAAAAATAATTCTTGAGAAAGGAAACGGAAGTACTTGACACGGAAGTGTTCATAAATGAACAGTTTACGTGCAGGCGCCGTGGTTTCGCGTGAGACATGCTAATTAAAGTTTCTATGAGCCAAAAACCGACGAAGTGTTCGCTCCTACGTAATTTTTGGTGTGTGTCCGAAAAGTGTAAACTCCTCTAGATCTAGATTTAGACTTAATTTAAATATAAATCTGGAGTATCAAGATTAGTTTAAAGCTCCTTTTTACTTAAAGTGTAAGAAATATACTCTGATTTTTCATTAGTGTCCGCAAAAGGTTAACCCTCAAAAAAGATGCGGACACCCCAATTTTTCCTCTAAGATGGCTTAAACAACCTTAACTATATTTTAGGTTGTCTTATTACAATTTTTTAATTAAAATTTTCTGTCACTTATCATATATCATTACAAACCATATCACTTACTGGTTAATTTGAGATCAAATTTAATGGTCTAGCTTAATCAGGGGCCGAGAAAACAAACAAAAACAAAATGACCTATTAACATCTTAAAATGCGAAACTCTTTTTCGCCATCAAAAGATATCAAAAAGTTACGTTGGTTTGTGTTTTCCATTCGTAGCATGATGTCATAGCAATTACGACAACATTGGGTATTTTAGTTACCAAAAAAAACCAAAACATTTTGTTAGAAATAAAACTTTATATTCATTATGTTTATTAAGGAAATATCAGACATATTTATTATAAATTCTATGTACAATGTACAATTTAAGACATTAGGCATTCCATGATGAATTGAACAATCAATACCCATGAAGATGACAATAAAATTAATATCCAAAACTAAAAATAGATCTGACAGAAATCTAGATCTAGTCCTTCTAACTGTAACGACAATACAGTATTATTAGGTAAGATGATAAATAAACTTTTTTTTTAACTTTAAAATTAAATACTCTATAATTAATATTCTCTTCTGTAGTAGCATTAGGTTAGGCGAAGTTTTTTTTTTTTTGTTTTTTTTTACCAGCTATGCGTAGTAAATCTACAGTCCTGTAAGCTTGCGTGAACTTAAAATGACCCTAAGTTGATTTACAATTTGCTTGGTTTATGAGGGGAGGGGTGGGATTGCCCACCGACGATCTCTACCAGCAATAGTTAATGCTGTGACGTATGTATGGTAGGCCTGCTGAACTCACGGTGAACCCTCGACCGTATCAACATTTTTCTCCCGCAGACAAGAAAATGTAAGCAGTCGATCTCGCGAGCGATGCGAGCGACGATGTTTGGAAAATTTTGAATAATTATTTTATAAAATATTATTTCGTTCAAAAAATTTTTTTTTGAAAAAGAAAGAAAATAAAACCGCTCGTGGCATTTCCCATGTGAAACAATAAAATAAAGCACAACTGATTTACGTCGGATTCGAACTCGGAGATTCTAGGTCACCTACCGCACCGTTCTGTTTACTCTGCCACACACCACGATATATTGGAAAATAAAATATTAGACATTTTGTATCAAAAGATTGCTAAAACTAAAAGGAAATAATTACTACTTCATTTATTGATATCATTCTACGTAGTAACTGAGTAACTGCGTAAATTTTACACACAATACCTATATTTTTAACTAACACAACAGCATTAACGAGGTTGACCAAGTCTAAAAATAAAATAAAAAAGCCAGTAGGCCTAATTAGATCTAGATCTAGCACAAAAAGGCTCGGAATGAGCATTGTTTAAAATACAATACTAAGGCCTAATTAAAAACTACATATAATTTCATATAAATGATACAGTCGGGTAGGCCACGAAGTATTAATATTAACAAGGTTAATGACCGGTCACGAATTATGTTCAATGAAACTAACAGTGCAGTCGGCCTACTTGGCTTGCAGTGAAGAAAAAAAATCAATATACTTATAAAATTACTAATACTTTAATACAATAATAATGCCCACAATTTCTGCACATGCTAAAACTGAATTATAATTAAAATACTAGACTTAACAGTGCATTCCGCAAAAAACAAAAATTAGTTGTTTCTATCTGACAACTAGCGTAACAATGGCGTAACGTTGCTAAAAATAGCAGCGGCATGGTATTTCTATGGGGAATTGGATTTAGGAAGAAGGGAAGCAGCATCATTGTAATTAATCATGGTAAATATCTCAAATATATATTTATCTAGGAGCTGTCGAGCGCTGATGCCCGGAGGTCGGTCGTTTTTCGTTGCAGTTCAGTTCCTAATGAGAGTGCTCCATAAGAAATGCTTGTATTAATTATTACTACATATCTCGCAAATGTTTCTGGCATTTAAGCCATAGTATCCATTTCCTTAGCATTTCGCATTAAAATAGTGATGAGATATTGCTAGATTAGCAGTTTTTTCGTTTTTTGTATATAGGACCCCCCAAAAACACTTAAAATGCGAAAACTAAAAGAGCATGACGTTTCAGGGTCAGGTTCTGACTTCCGGTTTTGGTAAGGAGATCGACTACTATATTTATAGCTTTCTATATATATATATAAGCTATTTATAGTTAACCCAGTTAACTAAGCTATGATTGGTTCGATTTATTCCTCTAATCCGGGGACTAGTGCTCTTCATCCGGATGAGGTTTCCTACCATAAAACGTCATACATCGCAACTTTGAAAAATTCCAATTAATCTCCCTATTGAGTGAAATAGAAGAAATGGACTCAGATGTGTTTAAAAATGGACATGCTTTGTGTTGTTTGCGTTAGTTTCCTATAAAATATTCATACAATTATTGTTTTAAGCGAAAAACAGCAAGGTGTCCGCACAGAGCCGGACAGAGGCAACTGTCCGCAGACGCCACTTTACTCTAGATCTAGAAGTCTAGATCTAGAAAAATAGTTCAAAAAGTTTAAAAACAGTTTCTACCAGCAGCAAAATGAAGTGGGGTGGATTTTCTGCCTGCAGTATCCTTGGCATTGACATTTTGTGGGGTGATTAGTTTTTTAACTTTTCCTAAGTCTCCGTTTCTGCATGCTTCAAATAATTCTCTGCCTGGATCGTTTTGAGAGGGTGCACTGCTTTCAGTTGTCAGTGCTGCCCGACGACCCGTTGCCATTTTGACTTATAACATCTCAGATACATCTGCTCAGATTCGAGATAACGCGAGATTTTATTAGGCTACCTTTTCTATGGGACAGTACATAATATTATGGTACAAATAGCTAGCAAAATTTAAAATATTTCAGATGTTGCTCATATTACGTAATTTATGATTTTTTATAAACATTTGTAGAAAATATTATTAGGCTACGATTCTTATTATTTGTAAGCTCATTCATATTCATGTCGTTGTTTTTTTCGGTCAGCGGCTCCCAAACTATGTGAAGTGTTTTAAAATTTTAAAATATAAAAAAACAAGTTAATTAAAAAGTCTAGTGATTTCCTTATGTTATCTAAAAATAGCTCTGTCGTAGCGTAAATCAAGAGCAGGGTTAGTAAAACCATTGGTTAAAATACATGTTTTATTTACAATAGAGTTACATGACTAAAAAAAATCATTGCGCGCCTAGCTACTGAACGAGATGACGCAGCCATTGAACGTGATGAAGCGTGTGGTGTGGTTGGATAAAAATGCATACTAATTCGGTCCAAATTTTAATTAATTAAAAAAAAATTGTGACCGAACGAAAGGATATTTTTGAAAACTTTCTTCGGCAATATTGTTCTAAATTATGGCAGGAATCGATTGGTACATGTTTTAAGTCGCTAAGTGGTCTGGTTGCCGAGATATGGGCAAAAAACTGCATTTTTTGGAGGTTTTTTGGCTTTTCCGGGAAATCCACGAAAGAAACCCGGAATTTTTATGGCCTATGTTCATCCTCGTAACTTGCTTAACATAATTGCTTTTGGAACTAGTCCTCGATATTGCTTCGTTGAGGAGGAGATACGACTTAAAGCTGCGGACACACATTCATCCATCCAGAAATGACGGGTTAATAAACGCAATTCTCCAGAATGGAAATTGCGCTAAAAAAATTATAATGATAATCTTTTAAATGCATTGAAATTTTAAAAAATAAAATAACACGTATTAGTAAATGAGTTTTCTGTTTAGGGGTCGTCCATAAATGACGTCACACTCGTAAGGGGGAGGGGTGTGTCGGTAATTTTGTGACGGTGTGTGATGAGGGGGAGGGGGGGTTTCAGATGGTGTCATGTCACACTTTTGCATTATAAAAAAGCAATGTTAGAAAACGAGTTTTAGCCGTTATTTTGCGTTTTAGAAAACTGTTTTAATAAATTGTAATAGGAATTGACTAACATACTCTATGTTTACAGTACAGTTCTGTCAAGATTTTTGGAAAAATATTGATGTTTTAAGAAAAATTCAACAGCAATTCTGAAGGGGTTGTAGGCTGAGGTGTGACATCATTTTAGGGGGGGGGGGGGAGAGTCTGGCTTTTTGTGACAACGTGTGATGGAGGGGAGGGGAGGGGGGGGAGGTAAAAATTGTCAAAAAAGTGTGACTTCATTTATGGATGACCCCTTAATAACCAAGAGATTCTGACTTTTGAGCTACATATTATTTATATTATGTGGAATTGGTGTAAATGAATAATCGTGACATAATATACATTCCTTATTCCATATACCTAAATAGGGTAGAAATCATGTTACAATTATGCTTCTGAATTGTGTATGGGGGGGGGGGGCAGTGGCGTAGCGAGGTCGGGTGTCACTCGGTGTGGCATCTGATGGTGTCACCCCCCCCCCCCCCCCCCCGTAAGAAAAAAAATATATATAAAAATATATCCATATATATATATATATATATATATATATATATATATATATATATATATATATATATATATATATATATATATATATATATATTCCATATACACTTGTAAGTATGTGTATAGGCATGTGTATAATTATTTAAATATTTTTTTTCTGCTGAATGTATTTAATTACCCCCCCCCCCCCCTTTCCCCATTCATAATTTAACATATAGCTTATTACGATTCTCAACCAAACCGTTTTCCTCGGGCATATATGTTACTGTTCATTGACAATCATAATAATGTATTTTTAATTGTATAGATGATATACTGATATACAATATTATACAAACGAGTTGTTTGGCTATTACAAAAATAAGCTGTGTGTACTATTCAGGACAGACTGCTTAGTTACTCATCATCCAAAGAATTATTTTACAGCTAATACTGGGGTTATTCTTACAACATGTATTCTATACATGTCTAAAAAAAAAGCTAGCAGCAAGTTAGTATACATGTTTTCATAAAACATTAACTTGTTGCGAGTTGTTTTCCTAGACATGTATAGTATATAGACATGTATAGTACACATGTCACAGGTGTAATTGCTGTGTAATAAATACCTATTATTATAAGTTACATAAGAAAATTATTAGCTATATAGTTTCTAATAAGACATTCTTTTGTCTGAAAAGCCAGCTGTTACAGAAGACAAATTGAAGATGAAGACCAATTGCTGGTAAATGATTCATCAGTAAAATCTTTACTTAATGAAGTAATATATAATTCAATGTTTTAGAAAACTTGTTTTATTATTCATTTGCAATGTCAACAACATATACACAATAAAAAATCGTCATATCAAAGTATAACAATAACAAAATGAAAATTTGTTTTAAAATTGACAATAATATTGCACTTATCATTTTTTTTAAATAAAAAATGTCCCATCTTATTATTATTTATTTCACATTTGAAATTCTTTTGCTATTGAAAAATTTGAAAGAATTTGAAATAAATATTTATGTTATATCTAAAATGCCTAAAAAAATGAGGCAAAATAGTTGCAACAATGCTTGTATGAAATAAAACATTTGAGATCTTGCTGGAAAAATCAAATTTAATTCATGTCATTAAATTTTTTAAAATTAATTATCATCATAGAACTATTCTGTGGTGAAAAAGAAACATTATCTAATTTATTCAACTTCTTGTTTACACGTTGGTTTCTATTTTTAAAAAAGAAAATATTCAGCTATGCTAAAAAAATCTATATATATAAAGTAGTGAGCAAAAGTTAAACAGAATTAGAACAATGGACGGAGTTAACTGATTTAAAATATCTCCTTATTAAAAATATTTAGGTCAAGAATTGTTTTGGTTTGTTAAAAAATTTTTAAAAATTTTAGATTGATAAAAAAAACATTTTGGTAATTAATCTAAAACAAAATATTCCCAAAAGTGAATTTTTTTCACCTAAAATTATCTATAACAAGACAATAGATGTCTAATTGAGGTTCAGATACAAGGTCATTATCACATCTTTTCATACTTGTTTTACATTGAATTTTATAGATTTTCCAAAAAAAGGTATACAGGCTGTTACTTTAGATTAATATATAAATAATATTTTACATACAAATTTATTACACTATTAAAATTAAGGTCATTTAAAGAATCGAAATAGGGTCAACTTAAATTTAATTTTAATCATATTGTTTATTATAATTCATTTTCCTTAATGTAGAAGCCTCCAAAATTAAACATTGAATGCGCTTATAGTCTGTTTTAAAATGACAAACTTAATGATTAAAATCCATTAAGATTTTACATTTTATCACACAATTAGTAATAGAATATGCAAATATTATCTTTGGTAAAGGCCAACTGAAATAAAACTTCTCAAAAAGCCTTTTATATTAACTCTTTAAAAGAAGATTAAAACAATTATACAGAACAGTTTACAGCAAAAATTATAATTGGAAATGTTTAGAACATTCAATTAAGATACTTCTGAAGGGAGAATAATTATATTGACTTGACTTAGTCTTTTTCGCTCTTTATAGAATATAGGGCCTCCACCATTTCCTTACATTTCTTCCAATCCCTGGCTATTAATTTTGCAATCTTCCAAGACATCCCTGTTGGCTTCAATTCTTTGAGAAGACTCGGCCTCCAAATCTGTCTTGGGAACGCTCTCTTCTGCTTTCCCGGGGGGGGGGGGGGGGGGGGGGGGGTTCCACTCAAGTGCATGGCATGTCATATTTGGGTGAGTCTTTGGCAGTGTGTCCCCCACCCAGACCACTTCCTATTTACACTGTCATAGGCTCCTGCCTTGTCTATCTCCATAATTCTATGTTCGGCACTTTGTCCTGCCAGCTCAATTTCAAAATCATGAACAAATGCCGTAGACAGATTTTGAATTTTTTTTTTTAGAATAATTGTATTAGTTATTACATATTCTTTAGCAGAATAAAATAGCTCAGAAAATTTACTTAAACGTAACTGCCCTTGGTAAAAAAAAAACCCACATTATAATTCAGCATATATCCTATTTGTGTCAAAAAGAAGTTAAAAGATTTTTTTGATAAGAAAATCAATATGTAGAAGTGATGCTTCCTTTTAATACAGAGTGAAGAAATTTTAAGTATATTACATTTTTTTTATACAGAGATCACAGACTCATGCTCTTTGTTTAAACAAAAAAAAAACCCACCGGATACCTAGAAATAAAAATTAAGCACATTTAATATTACACTTGTAGATTACAAATATAATTGAAAGCTGCATAAGATTTTAATTTTTTAAAAATATTAAGAAAAATAATATATAAAATACTCTATCCTATAGAGACTTTAAAAACCTGGTCTAGCAGCAGAAAACTTTTGGTTGTAATCTAGCAAGAATAAGTAATATATAGATCCAGCCAGAAAAAGTAATTATCCTCAGAAAATATAATCTAAAAATATTACATATTTAGTTAGCATTAAAATGTGCATAAGAAACATGATACAAATACATCTTCAAAAATAAACTACATAATATATATTGTGATCCCACATGAAAGAAACAATTTTGTTAACATACAAACATAAATTAGAAATGTATTTTGTATTCAACTTATGAACATTAATACTGTATACGATTGCCCTAATTTATTGTAAGTATATAATATACCAATCCAAAATATAGTTTTATGCAGAGATTTGACTTTTAGTTATTTTATGCCTTTAATGCAGAATTATACTAAAAAATCATTTATAAAGTTAAAATATAAGTGGCCTATACATTTATTAATAAAAGGCTAAAAGAAATCCATAGTATGATAAAAATAAGCATTTAATAGAAACAAAGTAATTGAAAATTAAACTGAATAAAGTAGTGAAGCCAATACCTATCAATGTTACACATCTTTACATGCTATTGTTTGTGTTTTAATATTAAAAAATCATATTGTGTGTGTTTATAAATATTTAACTTTTACATTCAACTATAATTTTTTTATCTCTTCCAAGTAATAAAAACAAAAACCAACAGGTAACTATGTCCACTTCAGAACTTACACAGTGTTACAGTTCAAAATTTATTCCAGGCCAAACCCTTCTGCATTATTTATAGCTGTTATGAGTTTCTGTTTCAAAAGTTTCTTACTTTTATAAGGTGGAAGAACCAACTGATTGAAGCAGGTATGGGACATTGGTAATCTGCAATTTTCACCAAAAGTTTAGAGATTTTAAAATTGTTAACATTGTATCATTAAAACAACCAATATACAATTAAGTTGCTAAGAATATATAATAAACTTACAAAGTAACATCATCAATCCGAGAGATTTTAAAAGTCATTTCACCCATGCCTCCTATCGGAATGCGGTCACTACCAGTGGCAAAGAGAAGCAATCTTTTTTGTGTTTCCAAGTTGAGATGTAGGACAACATCCCAAAAATATCTGGGGTAAAACATTGTATTTCATTGTACTCTATGCAAAATGTCATCTATGAAAAATTTCTATCCATGAAATCATTAGTAGTAAGCCACAAGAAAAAGAAAGTTACATAAAATGTATTATCACTGGTTTTTAAATTTTAGACATAAATGATAAAATTTTACTGTGAATGTTAACATTATAAAATTCAGACACAAAAAGAGAACTACTTCCTGTCATTTTACATTATTTTGCATACAAGGTTGACATGAGTGATATAAAATGATATAATGTAATAAGGATAAGACGTTTTTAAATGGTTTAAATTAATGTAAAAGGATTTTTTTTATTCTTTAACACTTTTCTTAAATAATGGTTATTAAATTATATTGACCCTATATTGTTTTAAACTACTTATTCCCAATAAGTTTAATTGTTACTTACTTAATAGAAGGGTCATTAGGGCTAAAGCCATCATAGACTGTGACTTTCTTAAGATCTTCCATTACTAATGTTGGACTTCCACAAACCAAGGTTTCTACTTCCTCAGGCCGCAACATCTACAGGAATAAATTATATGAAACAAAATATAAATATCTAAAACTTATAGGGAAATAATGAATTTATAATAACGAGTTTTATAATTATAAATTTCTACTTTTATTCTTATCAAAAGTTGTTCTTTACGGCTGACTATATCCGCTATCGAAATCTAGGTTTAAGATAGGTACAAGTACAGGTACACGTATAGGTATAGGTATAAGTAAATGGATTGTGATAGGAATGAGGTTATGTTTATGTTTGTATGTCTTTGTCTTCGTGGCTATGGTTCTTTTTAATTTCTAGTTTTTAAATTTAAATTTAATAGTAACATTTTTATGAAAGGCCGAAATACCATGCACATCTTCAAAAAATAATATTATAACTTAAACTCACAATAAGGGCATTTGATGCACACACACTATGAAAGCCGTGGTAAAATGCTTGAAATTGAGAATAGATGGATGTGTTGATAACCCACTCTGTGTACAGCTGGACATACTCTGAAAATCAGACAAAAAATGCCCAATTGAAGTTTTGACCAAACAGAATTATTTAAGGAGGTTTTTTTTTTATCTAACAACTAATGGGCTTTTCATTTACTTTCATTGATCATAGCTCAGCTCAACCAGTTTTACACATAAGCAAAAAAAGGTATACATGAGTTGATGCATTTTTCTTCAAACCATTTAAAAAATTTAATTGGTATTACTGGCCAGGGCATTGTAAACACTGACACTTCATTCAGAATGTTAATGTCTCTAACTGTTCACTGAGGAAATATGCAATCATATTTGACAAACATTAGTGGTTAAAGTATGTTTTTACCTTTTCTGTTGTCATTAGTTACTGGAATGTTTTCACCCCCAGGTTTTAAAGGTAATGTCCTGGTCTCTCCAGGTAATGTCTGGACCACCTAAATTAAAATATAAAAATAAAAAGTAGTGATGATATGAAATAATGGCATAAATATTATGAGGATAAATATTTTAAAAGATACAACTTAAATAAATAATTGTAATGAATATTAGAGTACAGAGTGGTAAAAAACTTTAAAAGATATAACATACTTCAAATGTAAGACAAAATGTTTCTTCAACATCACCATCATAATCCAATAGATCTTGTAATCCTTTGGCAACTTCCTGGGAAAAAAAAGAATGAGTTATTAAACAATAACGGCCAAAGATTTAGAGAGATTTGCCTAGAAAATGGTCTGGTTATAGGTGGCAGCTTATTTCAGCACAAAGAAATGCACAAAACCACGTGGATATCCCCAGATAAGCGAACCAGCAATCAAATCGATCACATTGCTATAAATAAAAAGTGGAGAAGATCCATGAGGGATGTAAAGGCAATAAGAGGAGCTGACGTGGGTAGCGACCATAATCTAGTCTTGTGCAAACTACAACTCAAGCTTAGGAGAGTCGACAGGAAAGTAAACCACCAGCTATTTGACTCAGCTAAACTAAAAGATCCCACCATTAAGGCAAACTTTGCAGTTGAACTAAAAAATAGATTTAGCCTACTCGAGAACCTACCAGAAGAGGACACCAATACTCAATGCGAGAAGATCCTGGATGTATACACGAAAACAAGCCAATGCATACTAGGGCACAGGAACAAACAAAGGAAGGAATGGATCTCAAACGATACTTGGAATCTCATTGAAAAGAGAAGAGAAGCCAAAATCAAAACACTATCTGGAACCATGGAAAGCAGGGTACGGAACGATGTAGAATATAGAAGACTGCAAAAAGAGGTAAAAAGGAATGCTAGGAAGGATAAAAGGAACTATGTAGACACAATGGCCACAGAAGCACAGGCTGCAGCTGATAAGGGAGATAGCAGAACAGTCTACAAGATTATCAGGACTCTAACAGGAGGAATTGCAAATAGATCATCTACTATCAAGGACAAAAACGGGAAAGTTCTTACAACGGAGAAACATCAATTGAAAAGATGGGCTGAATACTTCGAAGAGACCCTAAACAGACCAGACCCAGAAGAAACTGCTGACTTCACTGACATGAACATACATTTTGAAATGTATAGAGGACCCATCTTAGAACAAGAAATAATAGAAGCTATCCAAAAAACAAAAAGCAATAAGGCTCCAGGAGAGGACAGAATCACTGCGGAGATGCTAAAGGCAGACCCAAAAATAGGTGCAGAAACTCTATTAGGGATCTTCAATAAAGTATGGAATGAAGAAAAAGTCCCAGATTCTTGGAAACGGGGAATCATTATCAAATTACCCAAAAAGGGCGACCTTAATGTTTGTGAGAACTGGAGAGGCATTAATCTTCTGTCAGTACCAGGAAAAGTCTTCTGCAGAGTCCTATTACAAAGAATGAGGAAAGGAATTGATGGGATCCTTCGTGAAGAACAAGCTGGCTTCAGGGCCAACAGGCCATGTAACGACCAAATATTTGTCTTGCGCACTATCGTGGAACAGTCCCTGGAGTGGAATTCGTCTCTCTACATCAACTACATAGATTTCGAGAAAGCATTTGATAGCATCCACCATCCATCATTATGGAAGATACTAGAGCTATATGGCTTTCCAGGAAAAGTCATAAACATACTTAAGGACATGTACTATGATAACCAATGCTGTGTGCGACACGAAAATCAGCAAAGTGAATGGTTCAAGGTAAAAACAGGAGTCAGACAGGGCTGTGTCATCTCACCTGTCATCTTTTTGGTGGTAATAGACTGGATTATGAGAAGAGCCACTGAGGATAAGCCAAGAGGAATTGTTTGGGAACTTACCAACCACCTAGAGGACTGTGACTTTGCTGATGACTTGGCTTTACTTTCACATGCCCAAAAAGACATCCAAGCGAAAACCACAAGAATAGAGCAAATTGCCAAAAGCGTTGGGCTAAAGATAAACTCCGGAAAAACCAAGCTAATGAAAATAAAAACCAAAAGTGCTCTCAAGACCTTTGCGAATGGAGTAGAGCTAGAAGAGGTCGAAGACTTTAAGTACCTCGGCAGCTATATATCAGCAAATGGCAGCATGGAGAAAGAAATTGCCACCAGAATAGCAATGGCAGCACAAGCTTTCAACAGACTCGCTAAGATCTGGAAATCATCCTCACTGCAGCAGAGAACTAAAATAAGGATCTATAAGTCAAATGTACGTTCTGTACTCCTCTATGCTGCAGAGTCATGGAAACTAAACAAGAAAGGAGAGAGCCGACTCAGAGGCTTTGAAAGAAGATCCCTCCAACGCATCCTCAGGATAAAGTGGGACGACAAAGTCCCGAACAAGGAAATATGGCGAAGGACAGGATTAAACGACATTGTCTCAGAAGTTCGAACGAGGAGATGGAGATGGCTGGGCCATGTCCTACGCATGAGCAAAAAAAGACTCCCCAACATGGCGCTGAAGTTGAACCCACCCGGAAAGAGAAATAGAGGAAGACCACTGGGAACATGGAGGAGGGAGATGGAAGAAGAAGTACAGGCTACTGGCAAAACCTGGCATGAACTAAAGTGGCTCGCCCAGGACAGGGTGGAATGGCGGAGATTTGTTGCTGCCCTATACTCCACAGGGAGTGATGAGGATTAAGTAAGTTAAGTAAGTAATTAGAAGATTCTGCCTCCAATAACACAATGTGTTTAGTTGATTTTGAAAGTGTTTGTAAAGAAAAAGGATTGGTTTAAATGTTTAAGTGTTTTTAGCATGTTTTAATTAACTGCAACAAGTGAAGGCTCCCTAAATTGTACTTTAAATAACTTACAGTAGATCTTTATTCAAAAAAAGTCGCTGACCACTGTTCTACTGCATATTTGTTTCAGTTTTTCTTCACTTATAGAAAAATAAACTTAAAAAAAAAAAGAAAAATAGTAACTACTTACAGGTTTAACCCCTTTAAGATCATGGAGTGTAACATTACAAACACCAACAGTGGCTCGTGGGTTGTTGAATGGGACCACAGCAGGAGACAGCAATTTTCTGTAGCAAACTGGAGGGAATCTGATATCTAAATTTATAGAGTTGTACACTGCAAGACCCATTAGCTGTGGTGTGTTAAGGAATTTATGATATAAATAAAAAGTAGCCTACCACTTACAATTGACATTTCAGACAAAAAATAATTGCGTATGCCTATTTGTTTTAAAAAGGATACGACACCAACAAGGTTGAACTCTTGATAGTTCTCACATGGATTTGGTGAAAACCAGTGTACACCTGCTAGTTTGTCGTAAGAGAACATTCCTGAAATTTAAAAACAAAATGCATTTTACCTGGATGTAAAGTATAACTACATATTTTTTTCTAAGTATTTGTTTTCCTATTAGATAAAGCAATATTACGATATTTTACTAGTAGAATACATTTAAATTGAATTGTAAAATAAAACTCATGCTGAATATAATTAGATTAGATAACATTCAAGAAAATGGAAAACTCACCATAGTTGGGTAAAAATATCTGCCTAACAAGCAAAAGGAACCATTCTTTTGTAAGGCCCCCCATGTCAAGGCCTGGCTCTCCAGCAAATGATACTTTTAATTTTTTCTTTAAGTCATGTTGTTTTTTGGAAATCTTAAAATGCATGTATAACATATTAACATAACATTTACACTAAAGAAATGGGGTCAAAGTACATTTGCATTTAAAACAATTTTTTTAAATAATAGGTGAAATATACATTAATTTATTGGTTAAATTATTGATTCATTAAAAAAAAACCTGCTGTCATATAAAATAATCATGAAACTCTATACAGGCAAGAGCTTACCTCACTTAATGAATCTGAAACAAGATGTGATCTACGCACTGTTAAGTTGAGAAACAACATGCCAATATCTGGTAGCTGCCTGCGCTGTACTTTAGCCACTAAACTTTTCTAAAAAAATATAGTTAAGGAATTTTCCAGATCATACAGTTGCTTTTCAGTTTTTTAAAAATATGAACTTTTCATTACGTTCATGTTTTTAAAAAGAATTGATTGGGAATTTAGTAAAATTGTTTTGTATACCCTAGCCATAATGACCATCTGCTGTTCAGAATCTTTCTGTAAAATGGACTTTTTTGCAGCTATGCTAAGAATAAAAGGGTACTGGCAAAAAGAAAACCTGAAATAAAGAGACAAAAGTTATTACAATTACCATGTTTCACCAGTGTTTTATATTAGCTAAAGCTCTTGTTACAGTATATTACTTTTCAAATGATAGATCCTGTAATAATAATCATAAGGAATTAAAAAAAAATTATTGCCTGTAACTTTACTATTCTGCATGAGATAAACTAGAATGGAAGGTCAAAATGTATTAAAATAAAAATGTCATAATGGTCATAGTAATTGTTTTCACATTAAAAAATGTTTCCCATTCAAAATTTCTGAATCTAAAAAAAGAAAGCCTGGATCTAGTAAAAATAAAACTATAAAATTTTAAACTTTAAAGCTATTGTATACACTATGGGAACTAGAACAGATCTAGTTAAAATCTAAAGATTGAATCTAAAATAAAAATTTAAAGCCCTTGGATAGGCATACCCAGCATGGGAACTAGGATTCTGCCAGGCATAATACTCAGCCATCAGATCCAAGTGGTCTAAGGTGCTGTTGTAGAACTCAATATATTGTACAATAGACGGTAAAAGTAAATTGTTGGCGGCATCTGTAAACAGAATAATTTTGCAATTTAGATTCAAAGTTTGCAAAATGTTACAATTATTGTTAAAGATGTTAAGTAAACAAAGTTCCAATTCTGAGCAGGCTATCAGTGAGAAAGATGTAGAAGAGTTTATCTAATATCTGCAATGCCGAGATAGTGTGCTCATTATTATTCCTAAAGTCATCCCTTGACTTGAGTCAGGTCTTTAATATTCCTGACTAGCATCAGGTACCCATCAGAGCTGGATGAGCTCAGGCATGTCTTATAGAATGTGATTCAAACATGTAATTTTCAAGTTAGTAATGAAGTGCATAAAAGCATGTTAATGTAATTTAAATTTAAAAAATATATAATCAATGTAAAATCAGTTTAAAAATCTTGAATATGCTTTCTTTAAAAACAAAAAAAATGCAATCATAGATTACAACAAAGTTACATAAAGCTGTTATGTAAATTCAGACTGAAAATATCAGTAATTTTCATGTTTAGTACAGTATTGAAGATAAACCAAAATTATATTTGTTTTGTAATTTTTTAATAAATTAATTTTATCTAAATCTTTTATACTTTCCCTTACTTAACAATGCCAACACTTTTGTTGCACTTGGAATCCACCATGAGCACTTAGACATATGAGGTAACTCTGCAGGATTTGGTGGAAACAGACGCACAGATATAAAATTATGAATTCTTTCAATTATTGCTCTAAATCTGTCATTTTTTAACCTGCAAAGAACAATATTTTCTTTCAGTAAAACAATCAGAAAAATTAAATGTTAAAAAGTAGGTGAAACTGTAACAGACAGATATACAATAAAGCATTAAGTTATTGTCACCTTTTAAGCCAATGTACAAGAAAATGATGGTCATGATCGTTTAGTGCTGCAATTTGTCTTAACAGATGAGCAAAAATAACATAAGTGTTCTGACTTCGAAACTGAGGATTCTGTAAGGTAAAAAAAGGCATAAGAGAAAGCATGAGAAATATGCTGGAAAACTGGTAAATTAAGTATTTGGAGCTAATAATCAAGAGTTGATTAAGTTGAATAATGAGTTAACCACATAAAGTATGGACAAGATAGTTTTCAAACATCTATACTTTCCCAGACCAATGTCTGGTACTCATCAGATCTAGAGATACCAAGTAAAAATTTTACACACATTAGATGGAAACCAAATAGGAAACCAAATAGGAAACTTGCTGTTTCATGTTGGACAGCATCATCATACTACACCATGAAGTTGGATATGTTTGTATGTAAATACTACTTTATGACAACAATTATGTCTCTAAGATAAAAGGTGTTAATTTTAACATATTGCCTAAATTGCAAATTGATAATTAAAAGTTTGAAGTAAGCCTATAAATTGTAACAGATGTGAAAAAAATTAATTACAATATAATTTTTAAATTTCTTAATGATTTTAGACAATTACTTAAATACCTGTAAGAGAATTAGGAATGCTCGCAAATCATCTTTAGAATGAACCCTATAGATAAAAAAAATTGAAGCATAATTAATTTTGTGACAAACATTTCAAAATTTGCTGGTTTTCTATAATGCAAAATAAGCAGTGAAAGTGGAATCAAGTAAGCCTGTCTACACTATGTCACTATTATGGTGAAAACATTAGCTAGAACTTTAATAAAAAAAACAATAGGTAAGAACTTTTTAGTAAGTAATTTTAGTGCTCTGCCCCTTTTCATTTTAAAAAGTATACTTTTGATTCATGGGGGCAGGTGAAGTAGAGTCCACCTTGTAAAGTGACCTCTACATATGCAGGGATAGTGTGCAGGGATAGTGTGGTCAGCCCAACCACTTTACTTTCATCAGACCTGGGTGGATTCAGGAACATTGTACGTACTCGAACCAGTTATCAGGACTAAAGACTTTTAAGTAAGCAGTCGAATATCCGTGAGCATAGTGCTGACCACACAATCCTTTCATATACAGAGGTCACAGAAACAGGTGAACTCTATTACACTTTTCCCATGGACCGTTAGGTTCAAAAGGGGAACTTCTTTTAATGATCTATCAATCGACCACATCTTCACATTACAATTTCTCAACATTTTGTATTATTCATTAAGATATTAACAATGCTGTTTCCTTTTTACTCGGTGAAATATTGATTTTTAAATATAGGGCAAATAACAAATGCATCTCCCTACAAATGAAGCATTTTTTCTTTCTTCTCTAAGAAAAGTTGAGCACTTCAAATATAGGTAGATATAATATGTAAATTTGACTTGAAATGATATAATGCATGTCATTCTAGTTTATTTTATCCATTTCAATTTACATTTCAATAATCTCCTTTATATCCCTTATCTAAAGTCTTAAATGAATAGATAAAAAGAGAACCCGTTTTATCAATAAAGGAACGGTAACAAAGTGAAAGAAAACCAAAAGAATAAAATATGTAAAAAAAATGCAGTTTTTTGGTAATATTTTTCATTTCCAAAGGGCGGATGCACATCGAGTTACAAGCTTTGTAACTGTTGTCAGGTAATGTAACATTAACTGTTACTATGTTTATTTAAACTGCCTATAATCATGTAAATGGAGCCAATGTTGACACACAATTGATTCTGTACAGTTATTGATCTCATGACTACAACGATTTAATGTCTGAAACAGCTAGCGGCTGCTGTTAAACAGATGAGAAATAAATTTCCCTATAGGATATGTCGGATTAGTTTTTGTAGAATAATTTTAAAATTATGCACAGACAGGCAAAGCAATCAAATAAAAGATCTCAATGATCAATAGTAATAGTTGCTGTTTATTTTGAATGAATATTTTTTAATAACCAACTCAATTGTTGAAGGCAGTTAACATATTTTTCAGCTTGTTTGCTAACTAGCTATTTTTAATCAAGGCCTAACATGTCACTTGAAAAAGAACAATGAATGTGCTATGAATAATAGACTAATTGAACAGGCCATGTCTACACTCTCATTAAAAACCAGTCGCCATTGTTACTTTTGAACATTCTTTTCCTTTTAACAAAAATAAAGTGAAAAACGCTTTTAATACATGTTTTAATCTAAGCAGACTTTGAAATTTAAGCTTTAAATTCCAGACAAAGGATAATATTATCTTACCATATTCTTCCATCATGACTCCTAATAAATTGCAGCAGATTTAAAAATAAATACTTTTAAGCATATCAATTGTATTTTAAAAAAAAAAGCAAATTGCAATAAAAATAGGTTAAGCTCAAAGCAAACTTTTTTCACCGATTTATTTGAAGTTGCATGTTTATATTATCAACAGAAAGAAAAAAGAAAATTGATTTTTTTAATGCTGTTCTATTATTCAGTGTAAAGCTACCTTGAACTAAATATAAATATAGCAGCATATTTTTGTGTAACTAAAAGGCTGTCTTTAAAAAACATTTTAAAACAAGAAGACATTTTAAAAGATTGGTTGAAAAATATCATTACAGTTTTTTAAAAGTTTTTTTAACCTAAATTTCATTAAAAGTATTTTATGTATTTTATTATGAACATCCTTAGTTTTTATTAGTAGGATGGCTGAAATAAGGGTTATTAGACTAAACTTGATAATACAAACCTTTTATCTTTCAGTAAGGAATTGATTACTGCTTTTAAAACTTCTTTCTGAAGCCCTTGAGGCTAAAAATAATTAGTGAACATCAATAAAAATGAGTATAAACATTATTTTTTACAATTATAAATTTATCATAAACAAATAGTACATTGATTGTGTTTGTAAGGAACAAATAATATTTACTAATTCTAAACTATAAAAGAAGATCTGTTGGGCTATTATTTATATTTTTATTTCAGACTGGTGGGGAATAAACATTTGCTAAATATATTAAAAAATTTTAAGTTTTTCATTATGCTTATATAAATAAAATAGTATTTTGAGAAAGATACATGTAAGTTCAAAAGTAGCATTTGTAAAGCATATATTTTATTTCATAGCAAGTTTTGATATTAAATAAGAATTATAATATAAAAACAAAATGCAAAAAAAAAAAAAAACCCAACTGCAGTAAAGTTGTACAAAAACAATGTAAAAAATACTTTTTAAAAATCTGATTTCTTTTTAAAATGAAAGGAAAAAAATGTACAGTAAAATGGGAAAAAATACTGCTCTCACTTGGATTGAAATCTTTAAGCTATAAAACTACAATGTGGCAAAAAAGATTTTCAGCCAATAAATCAATAAGATCAATAAAGTATTGAAAAAGAGATGGAGAAGTGGAACTATTGATTTCTGTGCTGTGGATCAGCTAACAATAATACCTTTGGTTAGGAAGAACTTTAACTGGCTCCACAGCTATAATTTATTCATTACAATATTGACTAACCGGTATCAAGAATAGTTTGCTTATGAGTTGTATTGACCAGCCAGAAAATGCTTGGCTTTGTCCAAAGCATTTTTTAGAAAACCCAATAAAAACAAAGTGGCTTTATACCAAGCACTTGGCATTGTCCAATGCGTTTAAAAAACAACAGAAAAAGATTTAGTATTTGTAATCCTTACAAGTGAAGCTTTTAGACTAAAGCTTTTTGTTAGAACATCTTTGTTTTGCCCTTTTGGGTAGTCTTTTTTAATCTTTGATAATCATTACACTTGATATGCAATTAACTGCCAGTTTAACAATAACAATAATGGAGAGAATTTTGTATACTATATTCTAATACAATAAAATATAAACAAAACGTTTTTCCCACAATCAGACATTAATAAAATGATGAACAAACACATCATAAAATGGAACTTAAATGTGCCAAAGTAGCCAAGTAGTATTAATAATTTAAAATAACAAATATGATTGAAATATTTTAGTGACAACATATAGATTAATAACAGAATGATAAATAAAATTTGACTTACTGTATTAGAAAAGATGTCAAAAACTAAGTTGATGAAATCAAATTTTAAGCCAGGATCTTCTATGGTCTTATATTCTTTTGATGGATCTCTCTGGTGAAAGTTAATTTGTTTGACATTATTACAATAGATTTCATTTTGTAATGGTTGTGTATTAAATAGATTATGTAAAAAAAAAAATATTTTACCTTAAAAACACTGTTCAGGTTATCAAAAGAATCAAATGCCATAGTGTAGAATTCTAGCAATGCTCTCCAGTTTCCAGACACTTTAGCATTCATGAAATCTTCTCTAGAAAAATTATATCTTACTTTTAAACAAAATTCTCTTCCGTTTGAAAAATAAACTTTACATTGCTTAGGATATTTTGGATTAGTATCTACTTCATTATTATGAATTATTCTTTTAAGAAATTATTTGAATACCAGTTCAAATTGTATTATAATCAAAACAGAATAAAAATTGCAAAATAGTTTAACTGGATTTTAATATAGGTGGGTCAAACTTGAATATATCACAACAGAACAAAAATGTATTGAGTTGTTCTATCATGATAAAGTATGATATATATTAATAAATTTAAAAACTTACTTTAACACTTCAGCAGTCTTAAGAAGAACTGGATGAAGTGATTTATTACTTGCATCTGTCGTTTCAACTGATTTACGTAAGAGATTTGAACTCTGACTTCTTACATTTAAAGTTGGGCTAATTATTCTAGGATCTTGAAGTTGCCCTTCTCTGCTGTGACCTTGTGTAAGCAGACCATGTTCACCAGAAGGCTGTGTGTTGGGCTTCTTATGATGGACACAGTTAGGTCCACAAGGTTCACTTGAGCGTGGGGAAAAGTCATCACTTTCATGTTTAGCCACGTGTGTACCGCTAGAATAAGATGCTTTAGTGCCTCTACTGGGAGTCAACATACGCCCTCTCTCTATGGGGGGAAGAGAATCTTTAGCTCCATTGTTAGAGACCTCTGTGCCAGAAAATGAATCTTCTAATGATCTTGTTGATCTCCTGCTGTTGGGTGTTAAGTTTTGAAAAAAATTTGAAATTGTTTGCAAACGACCACCACTTCCCACACTATCATCTCTCTTGTGTACTGTCTGTAGAAAAGAATTATATATATATATATATATATATATATATATATATATATATATATATATATATATATATATATATATATATATATATATATATATATATATATATATATATATATATATATATATATATATATATATATATATATATATATATATATATATATATATATATATATAAATAAATAAATAAATAAATAATATATATATATATATATATATATATATATATATATATATATATATATATATATATATATATATATATATATATATATATATATATATACACATATATATACAGAATTACAAACACATATATGTTTTTATCTGTGAGTGTGTGTTTCTACTGTCTGTAGAAAAGAATTATATATATATATATATATATATATATTTATATATATATATATATATATATATATACATATATATACAGAATTACAAACACATATATGTTTTTATCTGTGAGTGTGTGTTTGTGTATGTACACATATATACGATATAAAATTACCAAATAAAAATTAAATCTTAATGTTTATTATCTACTCACAGATTTCTTTTTTGAGTCTGAGTCTTGATCACTTTGGTGTTGCCTATTTCTACGATAATTAGTTGAAATTTCAGCTGCTTCTTTGCTATAAAAATTCCCACATTTTGGGCAAATAGTTCTTTTCTTCCCAGGAGCTTGTAAGACTGAATAATCACAGGTAGGACATACCACTAAAGCATCTGATCTGTCAGTATTTGATGCCATACGTCTTCAAATTGACCTAAAGTTTCTTCACCTTTCAATTAAATGATGATTTCTTTATCCAGTTTCATTTTTATAATGAATTACCATATTATGTCTTCCTTAAAATCTGTTGAAATAAAATAAATATTTAATAAAGAATTCACTGTACATAAAAATAGCACAGAAAATTGTTTATCTAAACATCAGAAACGTCATATTTTGAATAATTATTATGGAGTACTCAAAGACAAACGCTGGTTTACTACAAAAGTGTACTAAATACTAAGATCTAAATCAATAGCTAACAAAGATTTCAATTTTTATAATTGAAATTGATGAAATTTACCATTTATAGACAATTATTTATTTAATAGTTTGAAACATGTTAGTTCGAGGTATCAGAGCTAAAATTAATTTAAAATTAAATAAAATTACTTAGAGACATGCTCTTTTCAGCTGTGCGGTTTATCATCCATAGGCTATAATGACATGGATGCTGAGTCGTTTTAATCTTCAGGGAAATCCCTAACTCTGCTCTGAGTATTCATTGTGAGATCTGCCATCTGACAAAGACAGTGATGAGTTAATAATAGGTGACCACGATGGGTATACATACATATGCACGTTTATATATATATGTAGATGAATATATATATATATATAATATATAATATATATATAATATATTATATAATATATAATATATATATATATACGTATATATGTATGTGTATATGCAATACCTCCTTCCATCCAACACAACGTCCCTCCAACACTTCAATCCACAAATAGCCTAGATCCAGTCCTTATGAATTCCACTACTAACTTTATTCTCTTAACCTAAGCCATTAGAAAAGGATGTTTAAAATGCTCAAAGCAATACAACAGAAACACCACACATAAAAAACACAAAAAATGATACTTAAAATCATTAACCAAAAACACAACAACCAAAGCACTATATAACCCAATACAACACAATACAACAAAAACACATTAAAAACACACAAAAAATATAACAAAATTAAAAACAATACGGTACCACAAATACACAATATTGCAAACCACAACAAAAACAGAGTAATAACTCATCACAGCATCACACAACCCCATCAAACAACATCTACACGTACACAATCATATACCAATCAATATTCTCATAATGTTACTCTAAGATAAAATCAGAAGCAGCAGGAAACAATGCAACATACATTTCATAAACTTATTAAAAATGTAACACATATTTCTTTTGTTCACTTTTTTTGCATGCAATGTAAACCCCCATTGAAGAGAAAAAGGTAATTTCTAAAGAAACATAAGCCTAAATTAAAAAAAAAAGGCTGCCTATAGCCTTTATTAAATATTGTAAAATAATAACACTTATTCTTCATGGCAGAAAATTCAAAAGTAATTATGAACCAGTTGATGAAAGGATATAGATTTCTATTCTTATACGCAGGTTATACATACAGATCCAGGGCTTATACTTACTAGCAGCATATACCCTGTATAACATATAAGTAGCTGTTTTATAATATATATATATATATATATATATATATATATAAATATATAAATATATATATATATATATATATATATATATATATATATATATATATATATATATATATATATATATATATATATATATATATATATATATATGGTTGTATGTATAAATATATGGTGACACAAACCACTTTTAAGATTAGAAAAATTATAGGTGGTAATGTCAGTGTTTTTATTATAGAGTATCGATGATGTCATTACTATTGTGTATTTTTTAGGCATTGGCTTTTTAATTCAATGTTTATTCTAGAATTAATGACGTCATATTATTGTGTGTACTTTTCCCGCTTTAGATGATTTCCTACTATATGTTCCATGTACTACTGTGAAAGTTTTTACTTTGCTTGTCTTTTTCTATAGTAAAAGCATTCCCAACTGAAAGATAGATTGACAGATAGACTGACAGAGAGACCGAATAGCGAAACTATTATTATAGACTAGATAAATGGCCAGTTGAGCCATATATATATATATATATATATATATATATATATATATATATATATATATATATATATATATATGCATATGTATGCATATGTATGTAAGTGTCTACATGTATAATCAGCTGTAAAGGCATGAGTGTTAAATTTGAACACTTTGCGCATGTTATTGCAGTCATTGTTTCACTTTCAAACGTTTGTTGAACAATTTTAAAAAAGAAGTCACTGTGAAACAATCTAGGTGATCTATTTAGGTCATTTGTGGCGTATGCAAGTGTTTGTTAGGAGGAAGGGGGAACCTGCAGTAGACTTCCAACCCTCATGTGGTTACAGCTGTAGGTCACAGTGAGCTACACAATAATTTATGCTCCTACAACATTGGAATATATAATATAGGCATATATTGTATAAGTTAATCGTCAGTATAAGCCTCAGATATGTTTATATGGGAGCCTAAAAATGTAATAATGAAGTTAGCTTCAAATCATATAGTAGAGTCTAGTATAATTAATAGCCCTATACTAATAATTATTAAATTATACAATAATGTAATTATATATATAGGCCTACCCTATAGGCCCTAACTAACTGGTATTTTAAATAAAATTTTACATGACAAGATAACTACATTATTTAACTACATTAATTTAACATGTAGATCTAGATCTCTACTCTCTAGGAGTCTAGAGTCTAGGGCTAGGCCTGTTCAAAGTATTCATATTTAATATTTAAATATTAAAATAAAATAAAATAACTTAATATAAAAGCACTATTATAAACCAAATTTAACTTTAAAAAAAAACATATTTGCATACCCACACTTAAATGCGTATTCAAATTCCATACATCTTACACCGAATCAGTTACATTTAAAGACCCTCCACTGGTATACTTTTACTGGATCGATGGCATTTTGCGGTTGATGGGGACGCTACTCTTCTTCATGTTAAAAGCTGTTTTGTGACGTCAGGGTGCCAACCGATTGATTTATCGATTACTCCTCATACAAATCAATACCTTAAATACGTGTTTTTTAACATAAATCACATGTTCGATTTTTTTCATATTAAGGGTACAGAATGATATAAAATAAGTCTAGACAGCTATACTCTATCAAAGATGTTATCTTATGTCTTATGTAACTACGAATTCCTTTGAAGTAAAC